GCACGCTCGACGGCCTGGTACTTCGGCGGCTGCGGGTTCCGCCCGACCGCCCAGCAAACGAGGGAACAACAGGCGTGCGCGCGCGAAGACTTTGCGGACCCGCCCGCACGCCTCCCTGACGACCTACCAGACCACCCCAACCCAACCCGAAGACCCAAATTGCGGGTTGGGGTGGTACGAGTTCCACATGTGTTTGTGCAATGTTCCCTGACGCTCCCCCCCTCCACACACACACACACACACACACTGGGAAGGGAGGGCAACCTGGGGCCTTCGGGTTGGCTTGGGCTGGTTTGGTGGGTCGTGACTCGCTCCATCCCCACCCCCACCCCCCTACCGCACGTTCTACGCCACCTTTCTTGGGCAAGCCATGTGGGGGCACACAAGCTGGGGGTCGTCAGCGTGGCGGCTACCAGCAGCGGCCGCCCAACTGGCCTGCGAACCGGTCGTCCACGACCAATGCGGAGGGGCCAAGATCCTGGTAGCAAAAGTTTCGTCGAAAGCGGGCAAACCAACCCACCTCCACCCAATTCAACGCCCACCTCGACACCACCAGTCTCTACAAGGATCGACGCCAGAAGGCAGCGGCGACCTCGTAGCCAGACCTCGAAGCATCTGGCCAGAGGTCCACGGTGCAAGCGCAGGCGTGTGGGCCCAGGGTTCGAGTTTTTGTTTCATCTTCCCCCCTGGACCCAGACCAAGTTCCTCGACTCGCAGCGGGGGTTGAGGCCTCCAGCAAGTATAAAAAAGGCAGCAACTCGAGCGCTCGGCGCAGCGCAACTCGAGCGAAGAACTGATTGCACACGCGAGAGGCGGGACGACCAAGGTCGCGGGCGAGAGCACGGCTACCTCCACCACCTCTCTTCCACCACCTCCGCCGAAACCTGCCCTCGTGTCCATAACCACCAGCATCACCGCCGCCGCCGCCTCCTCCTCTTCTTTTGCTTCTTTTTCTTCTTCTTCTTCTTCCTCCTCCTCCTCCTCCTCCTCCTCCTCCTTCTCCTCATCCTCCTCCTCATCCTCCTCATCCTCCTCCTCCTGCTCCTCCTTCTACTCCTCGTACTCCTCCTCTTCCTCCTCCTCCTCCTCCTCCTCCTCCTCCTCCTCCTCGTTCTCCGCCTCCTCCTCATCATCATCAGCAGCAGCATCCTCCTCTTCCTCCTCCTCCTCCTCCTCCTCCTCCTCCTCCTATTCCTCCTCCTTCTCCTCCTCCTCCTCCTCCATTATTTCTCCTTGTAGCGAAATTCTCCCTGTCGCACCCCGAGGCTACTGTTTAGGGTGGGCCGGGCGTTTCGCCTGAGACGCCCTCACCATTTATGAATATGAGCCTAAAAACATGGCAACAACTCCATGGTGGGCGGGTCGTTTTCAAAGTGTGGATTTCGCCTTAGCGCCGCGCGCATTCGATTTACAACTTTGCAAGAGTTTCACAGATTGAAGGCGGGTTGCTTCCAAAATGTGGCTCTCGCATTAGCGCCGCGCACATTCGTTATAAAATTTGCCAGAGCTTCACGAATTGAGGGCGGGTCGTTTTCGAAATGTGGCTCTCGCCTTAACGCCGCGCACAGTCGTTTAAAACATTTGTCAGAGTTTCACGGATTGAGGGCGGATCGTTTTCGAAATGTGGTTCTCGCCTTAGCGACGCGCACATTCGTTTAAAAAAAAAATGCAAGAGCTTCACGGATTGAGGGCGGATCCTTTTCAAAATGTGGCTCTCACCTTTGCGCCGCGCACATTCGTTTACAAGATTGCAAGAGTTTGACTGTGCGTGTTGGACATGATCAACGCACCAGCTTGCAAGAGTTTGCAAAAGTTTGCACATGATCAACGTACTAGAAACGGTGTTTAATAAGGATTCAGGACCATGCGGGCGCAGCAGATATGTGGATTCGCGGTGTCAATTCCGGATCGTCAAGAGGCCGCAGTCAGGTTGATACGTGGCGTTGAGATCCCGAGAGCAGTGTTTTGGCACGCTTCAGGATCTTCAAACGGTCGTCTTCCAACGGGGCAGTTCCCTCAATGGGAATGAACTGTTGTTGGGGCCTACGAAGAGGGATCGTGGAGGGAGGGTTGAGGGTTCACCCCAACACCGTTGATGACTCTTGGGTTTTCACTGGTCCTCCTCCTCCTCCTCCTCTTCCTCCTCCTCCTCATCCTCTTCCACCTCCTCCTCCTCCTCGTCCTCCTCTTCCTCCTCCTCCGCCTCCTCCTCCTCCTCCTCCTCCTCCTCCTCCTCCCCCCCCTTCTCCAATTACCCCTCCTCCTCATCCTCCTCTTCCTCCTTCTCCACAACTTCCCACTTTTCCTCACCCCACGATCACCACATTCTTATCCTACACCATATCAGATTGTTCTCCATCGACGACCGAAACGACCAGGGCATTCAACGGACAGAGAGACATGACCCGTACAAGACATGGGTAGCCTCACTCAAACTCCCAAGCTGGAGCCAAAGGAGACCCTTCATCGGCGACTGGCCGGCGTGACTCGCGGAGCTGAGTTTCAAACGCAAGACGGGCGTCTTCGAGGCCATCTTCGTTGAGACAGAACTGCGCTAGCAAAATTAAGCTCGAGCAAGGGTCCCCAGTTCCCAATCGCGGGGAGACTCTCGAGCACAGGCGGCTTAAGCAAGTAAACAATTGCCTGCGGGGACGGGGGTAGCCACTTCTCAACCGTCAAGCCCCTGTGTCGAGCAGACCCACAAGGAAACGTCAGCTCGGACGCCCGCTTCTGCTTCTGACGACCGAGTGTGATGGTTGCGGCGCCCCTTAGCAAGGAAGCGCCAAGGACGAGATGCCACCCCAGGTGTACCCCCAACAACAAAGACATGCAAACACTGTCTGGTTCTTGTCGGGCCCAGGCGGGAGCCCCGAAGCCATGTAGACAGGTGCCTGCACCAGCGCATGGCCTTGCAGGGCTTAATATGTGCTGAGTTGTTCTTATCAGCTTCAATGAGAGGCCTGCTCCGCCGCCGTGGTCGGCTGGCTCGCGGCATTCTGGCACCGGCGCCGCCCGCCACCCCCCCCCCACCCACCCCCGGGCCCGACCCCACCACCGCGCCCCCCCTCTTTGAACGAAGAAAAGGGGAAAGAGTCGAAGACCTCACGCTCGGCCATCATGACCTCCTGCGTGGCGGCCCACTGAGCCGCCACCTTGGCCACTTGGCCAATGGTCTCGAGCTGGCTCTTAGGAAAGGAGGTGTCTGAAGGCGGTGCGGCGCCAAGGCCAGCATCGTGGTCAGGTTCAGCCATTCGTAAGATAAGATTTTGCTCTCTGACACCGCTTCGAACGGCAAGTGGGCTTTCACCTTGATCGCCCTGCATCCAGGGAGCCGTCTGCGCAAGTCCTCCCAGACATGGCGAATGGTGCGCTGGCTTTACATGCCAGCACAGAGCCTTGGCAATCCGCGTAGAAGGTCGCAGGGCCCTGTGCACACACCCTGGCGGCCATCAGCAGTGCAACGCCCTCACCGTCCCTGGCCACTTGGACGGAGGGCTAAATCCCACGGGACGGCCCCGTACACAGCAGCTACAACTTGTTCGCCGCCCCCAATCGTGACCAAGCACCAGCCAGCTCGCCTGGGCAAAGGGGCACGTCGGGAAGAAGGCGGAGCCTCCCGTCACCACCCTCCCAGAGAGAGCCCCCCAACCCTGAGGCCGACGGACCCAGACCACCTCGACCTCAGAGATCGAGAGGGGGCGGAGAGCCAGCTCAAGGGGAAAGGGGGCGAGGCCCGAGGCCGCCCTCTCGAGGTCTTGGCCTGTGATTTGCGTAGTCGAGGCCGCCTCAAGAACCGAGGGTGGGATGGCTCGCTCTCTCTCTCTCTCTCTCTCCCTCTCTCTACTGCCCAGTGGCAGCATCGGAACCTACGACGCCAGTCTGTACCTGCAGCGTTCGGGCACAGCTGGCAACGATGTGTCTGAAGCTTGCCGCTCCTATACTGTGTATAGACCGCAGACTCTCCTTGTGGCGTCCGGTCCAGGTGTCTGTGGTTTTGGCCGCCAAAAGATTAGCCACATCGAGCGTGGATCATCGTCTATTCTACCACCAAGCGCCATGACATCCGACAAACTCTTGGCAGTACGAGCGGCCATCCACTGGACCTGTTCGGGGCCAAGCCTGCGAAGCTCGACCGAATTCCCTGTACCAATAACTAACGTGGCATCCGGAGTGGCCGACCATCCAGACCGCTGCAAGGTTAGAATGTAAACGTGGGATGGACTCATGGCCACGGCCAACGGCCTAGCGGCTTGGCTGAGGTCAGCAGCTGCCACGCCCAAGGTGGCTTGCAGGAAATGGAGGGGGAGGCCTCCCAAGCCAAAGCGCCGGAGCCCACAGCCCCCCCCACCCTGGCTACGATACAGTTTCTGTGGGCGCATGACCCTTCTTACTCGGGTGGTAGCAAGCCTCAGTCTTACCGAAGTGTCATTCTTGCTCTTGTGGATGGTGTTGTTGGCGGCTCATCTCTGAGGCTGGAGCTGTCGCCCCGAGAGGCCAACCACGGCAGCCCCCAAAGGGGCCATCGCTGGAGGCCCCGTTCTCTGAATGCTTCCAACCTTGGCACCCGCGCGCTTCCGCTTGAAAAGTTCCCATGACCTCTTGAGGCCTTTCCCGATCCGCTTGGGCGCCGTGGCCATCACTGGTCTCTCGTTCTGGCGAGCATCCGTGCCAAGGGAGTTCGTGGAGAAGGTACGCGAGCAGAGAGCTGGCTGTGCCATATGCTGGCTAAGTCCTCGGCTGGTCAAGTCGATGATGCAGTCTAGCGTTTTTCCCCAGAGAGGATGAGCTCCAGCTTCCTGTGGCCGGCAGCCAGGGCCTTGCCTGCCCCGTCAAACTGCTGAGTAACAAACTTCCGAGTACCGATGAGCTGGGCATGAACATCATCTACAACATCCCTGACCAGGACAGCAGAGAAGCTGTGAGCCAGGGGAACCAGGAGATCATACATGCGAACTTTGGCCATGGTGACCGCCAAGGAACACCCTGAGAAGACCGTCCCATTGACCCAGAATACCGCGGATATGGCATTCTGGAACGTAAGCGTCCTGGGCCGCGAATACAGCTGGCATGCCAAATATATAAGACGAATGCGGCAGTCAGTGCTTTTCCCCTGCTCGAACAGGTGGTAGTGGGAGATGTTTTCATCGAACTTCGAGAGATCCGAGAACAGCTCGCCACTATCATAATGTGCTATCTGGGCGAACTGGTTATACAAGCGATGCCCCCAACAAGCAACATCACACACACACACGCACACACGGCTAGCGGTGCCAAAGAACTGCCCATCATTGTGTTCCTGCTCCCACTGCCTGCTGGGATCCTGTCGGAGCCACACCCACACCCTGAACACTGAGATGATGAGTGCGATTGAACGAAGGTCCTCACTCTCCGGCTTGCCCGTTAACACAATCATGCGAGGGAAGCAGGGAGGCGTGGTGGGGGACACTTCCCAGAGAAGGATCACCTCCAGCAGGCGAATGCGGAAATCTTTCCTCTACAAAAGCAAGGATATGGGAGTGACACAATCAATGCCGAGACCAACCGTGTGGCGAAACCTAGACAAGGCTCCGTCCAGCTCTTAAAGCGTGGGTCTGGGTAGTGCAACCCCCCTCGCTTCCAACCCCTGAATCTCGGACAACCGCGACTTGTCAGTCTGACAGTACTGGCTCCAGTCGCATACGAGATGGCACACTGCCTCATCACCCAGCTTGGGGAGACCTTGCTCATCCGAGAGGGGTTTGAGCTGCTTGTGGCCTCCCCCTCATCCTCCTTCTCCTCCAACTTCCACTCGCCCCACGATCCCCCGTCTTCTCCTCCACAGTAGTTTCCTCCTCCTCCTCCACCTCCTCCTCCTCCTCCTCATCAGCATCATAATCATAATCATAATCAGCATCGTCATCATTATCAACATCATCATCATCATCATCATCATCATCATCATCATCATCACCACCATCATCACCATCATCGTCATCATTATCCTCCTCCTCCTCCACCACATTCGCAACTGCATTCACCGCCTCCTTGTTCCTCCTCCACCTCGACCTCCTCCACCGCCTCCTCCCTCCTCGTCCTCATGCTGTTATCATTATGCTTCTCCTCAACCTCCTTTCCCCTCATCCCTCCTTTTCCACCTCATCCATCCTGCTCCCTCTTTCCTCCTTCCTCGCCCCGCGTCTTCTTCCTCCTCATCCTCCTCCTCCTTCTCGTCCTCGTCCTCCTCCTCCTCCTCCTCCTCCTCCTCCTCTTCCTCCTCATCATCCTCCCCATCCTCCCTCTCCTCCATCCCATCCTTCTTCGATGACGATGACGATCACGGCGACGACGACGACAACGACGACGACGAGGACACCGACGGCAACGACGACGCCAAGGACAACGACGACGACGACGACGACGACGACGACGACGACGACGACGACAACAGCGTTGGCAACGACGGCGACCGCCGTGGTCTGGAGGCCCCCTGATTTCTCGAGAGGACTCTGGACGCACCCAGAGATCCAGAGGAATGCGAAAGTCCTAAGAGTCACGGAAGCGTCCCGAAGACTCGATCCTCAATCATCTTCTGACGACGGCGACGACGACGACGACGGCGGCGGCGGCGTCGGTGGCGGCGGCGGCGGCAACGGCGGCACCGACGACAACGACGATGACAAAGAAGACGGTGGCGGCGACGATAACGACGACAACGAAGAAAGCGCCTGGGCGATGGGGCTGCCCAGAGATCTCAGAACGTCCTCGTCTCGTGGTCGCCAAAAAAGTGAGAACCTTGAACTTCGAACCTCGTCGACAACGACGACGGCGACGGCGACGTTGCCGATGACGACGGCGGCAACGACGACGACGACGACGATGACAACGACGACGACGACGACATCGACCACGACGACGACGACGATGCAGATGACGGCGACGGCGACGGCGACGACGACGACGACGGCGGCGACGACGACGACGACGACGACAACAACGACGACGACGATGACGACGACGACGACGACGACAACGACCACGACGACGACGACAACGACGACGGCGACGAAGACGATGCCAATGACGACGACGACGACGACGACCACGACGACGACGACGATGCCGATGACGACGGCGACGACGACGACGACGACGACGACGACGACGACGACGGCGGCGACGACGACGACGACGGCGGCGACGGCGACGATGCCGATGACAACGGCGACGGCGACGACGACGACGACGACGGCGGCGACGACGACGACGACGACGCTGAAGTCGTCGGCGACAGCGGCGATGACGGCGGCGGCGGCGACGGTGACGGCGCCTGGGCGACGGAGCTGCCAAGCGCCGCCGCAGGCCAGGGCCCGCCGCCGCTGGCGTGCTCGTCGTGGGACGCGGCGCGGCCCGACGGCACGCTCGGCGCGGGGCCTGCGGGCCACCCCTCGCTGAGCCCGGGCCCGGGAGCGCCGGGCGGGGAGGCGGAACGTGAGAGACGCATGGGGCACAGAAGAGAATACTGGTACTAGGCGCCCTCCTTGGAGGGCGGCGGCGACGGGGCGGCGGCGGGGCGGCGACGGGGCGGCGACGGCGGCCACATAGCCGCCAGACCGAAGGCACGGCTCATTCCATAGGGAAAAAATCAGATACCCTCATAAAACGAAAAGAACTTGGAAAAATACGGTTTGGGGAACTAGTACGATGTGCCCTCCTGGAAGGAATGCGTCCGAACAGATCATCTAGTGCAACAGTATGGTGGTGTATACTTACCCATGCGGTATGGCCAGAAGCGCCCGGCAACGAGCATATACTCTATAAGATCTCTGAAAGCGCGCGGCGCCCCTGTGGGGGCAACGAACACATAGTATAGCTAATAGTTGGGAGACGCCGAACGCAGACATGATCTCTTCGTGGGAAATCACGACGGACAATGTTTGGCAGTCCTCGGGTTACGCGGACCCTCGCCGGGCCGAGGGGCCGCCAAACATTAATCCGCGACGAGAAACAGGGCCAGGGAGAAGGGTCGGGAGCCAGAGGCACCTCATCGATACCGAAAGCCACTCAAGACATCATTGGTGGACCCCTGGATCCTGGCAACGGCTCCCACAGAAGAAGGCGACTCACAAATGTCGAATCCCCAACCGGTGGGCCGCATGATTGGCGTTGGTGGGCCGCTGGCCCATCCCACAAGGGTCTGGGCTCCCGGAAACCCCGCATTGAACAATCGGGACACCGCGTGCCTGGGGAGGGCGGGCCCCGCGGAGGAGAGCGGACCTTCCCGATTCTCTGGCCGCCCCTTGAATGAACGAGCGCCACTACTGCGAGAGCTGTCCCAACTACAGCCAAAAGTGTGATCAACAAGTTATCATGTAAGAAGTCAGTGCCAGCTTCCCAAGGGTTTCTTGAAAAAATCTGGGCCAAGTCTGGCGCTTCGTCTCCCTGGTGCCGATCCGAGTCTTGTGCTTCCAAGATTATGCTTGTCTCAATGGCTGGACAAGTAGCGCCGCTACCCCAGGCTACGTGCATCAACATCCATGGCGTGGACCAAATCGAATCGTTCGAGGGCATATGTCTTCTGTAGTGCTGCATTTGCTTCCAGCGGGTTGGGTACCGAAGCCGGCTTCGGAGTGGCAGGTGCCGAGTGACGGCAGAAACATAGAGCACACGTGGGAGTTCACCTCCGACGCTTCTGTTGGCCTGGGCCAGGCACAGACACGGCTGGACGAGTTCGAGCTCACCCTCAGCATGCAGCTCTGGCGGGAGGCTGCGGACATCTTTTGTGGAGGCGGCCTAACGAAAAGTGCTGATTGGTTGAGTTGCCGTCACATGCTCAAGTCGCTGCTTTTCGCCCAGAAGGGCAACAGATATCAGAGTTGATGGTGGCCATAGCGACAGGTGGCTACTGGAAACAGGAGAACTAACTCGAGGCCAAGCTTGTGGACTCCAGCGAGTGCGAAAGCCCGACACCCCGCTGCATCACACCTGGACTTGCAAAAAAGAACCGCAGCTCGCCAGCTTTCGTGCAATCGAATGAGCCTTGTCCCGAGGCGATCCCCGAACACGGTGCATACTCTTGCTTCTGGATGCGCGGGGTCATCCCCAGCGAGTGAACACGCGTCACCCCACCAGCTAGTGATGAAATTGTTTGTCGGAGGCGGCCAGCCCCAGGGGCAACTGTTCTTCAGGGTGTTGTTTAGGCCACGGGTCCCAGGGCAGCGCAGTGATTGTCTCTGGGGGTTCCTCGGGTGGCAAGGACACCCACGACAGCAGGCTCAGAAGGGTGGGAAACGCTGTTGCTGTTTTTGTCACAGCACCTCCCCCTGCGTCCTGGGGCCCCACCTGTTCGGGCCCCTAGTGGGGCCGGCCCAGGCGGTCCCGCGGGAGGAACTCCAGGCTTTCGATTGGACTGTAGGGCTCACGCTTGGTTTCACGCAGGATCTACGTTACGGACTGCGCAGAAGTCGCCAGGGGGGCTGCGCGCTGGCTCTGCTCGCGCGTCGTCGGGCCCCCAAGCAGACTTGTGGCGGAGGATCGGGTCCCCGTTGACCGGACAGGGGCGCAGCAGATCCCATCTCACCTGTCCGCCCAGGCAGTGCTGGACCAGGGATGGGACAGCTGGCTCATCCAGGGCAACCCGTGCGTAGATGTGTTTGCGGGGGGAGAGGGCCACCAGGGCCAGAGTCCCCGAATTAGGAGGATCCCGTGCGCACAGCCCTGAACGCAAGGCCAGGTTGGTCATGAGGCGTCTCTTGAGAGTAGGTTTGGAGTCTATCAGGGCCTCCCAGGGCCAGAGCTCTGGGCGTGGGGACCCAGAGACCCCTCCAGCTCGCCCTGCTCCTCGACCTCCTCCTCCTCCTCATCATTTGGCCCTGGCCCGTTTCGCGTTTAACCATACCCTGGCCGAAAGTGGTAGATCGTCGCGATCCTCCCCTGTATATCGACCCCAAGTCAGCCCGAGTCTCGATCGAACGGCGTCTACACTTGGCGAGTCGCAGGAAGAATCCTCTACACGCCTTCATGT